AAAGTTTACAGCCTACCCTTCCTCCAAGGACAGGGATCAGACAGGGTCAAGATGCTCAATCCTCCACAAGAGTGGCATCCTTCCTGTGAGCAAGCCCTAACCCCAGACATTGCACCTGCCGGATTCTAAACTCCCCAACCTCCCCTCTCACTACCTACACTACACCTTTCCAGATGCAAGATTTTCCTTCTCCCAGTCAAGACATTTGGAACACCAGTCATTGTATGCTCACAAAATACAAAATAACAGGGTAACAGTAATCCCAAGGAAACAACAAAAATGGCCAAATAAATATTAAAAATAGTAAAACCTAATATAACACAAAAACAAAACTTATTTTTTCTCATTGTTTTTTAAGCACTGTTCCCCTTTGATGAAAATAATTAAAATTCACTAGATTTACTCAACATGCACAAGATCATCTTATAAATACTTCTTTTACAAATAGATGGTACTCTGAAGGAAACCTAAAGTGAAATTCACAATGTTTTTCTTGTTTTAATTTGTAAGTATCCTTCTCTGTGATCCCTCAGAAACCTAATGCAAAAAATAAATTTCTCTAAATAGAATATGGTGTTTCAACTCTTATTCCTTAACACAGTTATATACTGTTCAACATACTCAAATTATTTGCCAATTTGTTAGAGAAAATTTAAAAACCCTCAAAAAAAGCCACTTTCATAAAACCTATCAAAACCCAGAAAACTCCCTTTTTACTCATTCGCCTCATGTTAATATAACCTTCTCAAAATAAGCAACCACAATCACTAAAAAAATTAAAAGTTCATGGAAAAAAACAGAAACTAGAAAATATAACAATGAAACAAATTAGGGCTACAGGCTGTTTAGCTTAAAGGTATTTTACCTGAAGTTATGTTAAGAAAAAAGCTTCTTTATAAACAAGTTATCACAGATATTTTCTTAGGTGCTATTCACAGTTCTTTAGTAATAAAAACAAATGCTAGTATTATTAATCCAATCCCAAACCACCACATGCAAATCACCTCAACAAATGCTAAATAAATGACTCTGCATAATGTAAACCATTTGACACTGAAAGGGAGAAGCAAATGGAGATATTAACTGCTTCTCCTATTTCTACCATCTACCAAGACTGAACTTCCCAGTATCCGTTCATAAATATTCTGATAGTAAGAAAAAATGTATGAAAAAAATCAGGAAAACCTTAACATTGAATATGTGATACTAAGGAATTAACTTTTTAGGTGTGAGAAGGGCATTGCGATTATCTGAAAAACAAAAACGATACATGCTGAAATATTTATGGGTGAAATGGTATTTTACGCTTTACCTTAAAATACTAATGGAAGAAGACTATAGATGAAAGCAGATCAGTCAAGTACTGATTAACTGTTAAACTGAGTGATCTACTCTCTCTTCCTTGTGTATGCTTGCAATTTTCCAGAATAAAAAAAGAACTGCTGGTGAGCAAAATCTCAGGCACTATTCTGTGTGTGTATGCCACTCTTGCACAGATTTCTTAATTCGTTAGGTTTGCATAATTTGAGAATTTCTTCTCAACTGTACAGACTTTGTAGTCAGAGAGCTGTGTCACTGCCAGTATTCCAAATGCTTCCCAACTGCACCACTCAGCAAATCTATTTCAAATGCTTGGGAGAAGGAGGAGACGGAACCAAAGGAAATGAAGAGGGGAAAAAACTGAACAATGAACCTGCCCAAACTGTTACCATAAAGAACTCCCACCTCTTAAAGCCACTTAATTCATAGTCAGGTTTCACTCTTTCTTTCTTCTTATGGTTTAAAAGCAAGACTGTAGGCTTCTAGTTTACTTCATTGCCCTTCACATCCATCCATGCTGTCTGAGGAAGATACAAACAATCCAACTACTGTGTAACCAGGTCAAAAACAAGCTTTGGCTAACTTACTTGGAAGAGTACCCTCACCACTTAGATTTGGCCAGAAAAACTGGGTTAGAAAAAACCGACTGGGGCTTAAACAAACACTGGGGCTGGGGAGAATGTCTTAGAGCCAGTTACCAGGCCACTCAGTGAGTTGCAACACACTCTTTTCCAAAATTTTCCAAAGGCTTCCAAATTCAGTTGAGCCCAGCAGCCTGAGTTAACAGGGCTCCTTTTCAAATTCAAAAATCTGGCCGCAGCCCCAACAGTTAACCAACAAAACACATGCTAATTCACTTGAGATCACCTAAGAATACAGACTCAAGTTCAGACCACTGGCTGGTACACAGCCTGGTACAGAAGCCCAGGCCAGGGGAAGTCGGGGCTGGGGAGAGACGTTCAAGCGACAGATAAACCCTATTCATAAAGCGTTAAGAGAGACAATAGGATCCACACTTAATTTGGCCTAAGAAAATGTCTACAGTCAGCTTCCAAGCCCCCTCCCTCCATCTTCAATGAGACAATGACAGTTCTTCATGGTGAACCACAAAGCCTTGCTTCATAAGATATTTTCCTCTAGCCGGACCTTGTATCCACTCTAACAGCTAGAAAACACCCCCAGTGCAGATTACTTTTAGCAAACCTTTATTAATAAGAAATAAATCAGGACAGGGGAAATCTAACATTCCGTTTCAAATTTTCAAGGCCTGTGCCTCCATTACCTACAGCTCTTTCAAGAAGCTCTACAATGTGCACTGAACAAAACGAACGGCACTGTTAGTCACATCAGGTGTCAGCTACTCAGAGCAGACTCACAGTCTCCAGATTTGTTAGTTTCACTTGGGGGGTGGGGGGGGGGAGTCGGGATTAAACGAAAAAAAGAGAGAGAGAGAGAGAGAGAGAGAGGCCTAGGGTGGGTGTGAAATCCGGGCATCCTCTTGACTCCTCGCTCTCCCTCATCTCTGTTTCAATTACACACCTGTCAAACAGGTTATTCCTGGAATTCAGATTTTATAATCCTCATGCTGTAATCCTTCCTGCTCCTGGTGCCCAAACACACACCCCTCTCTGCTTCCCCAAAATATGTATGTATGCATCCGTAGAAGTCCCAGGTAACACCGGACTCCTCACCTTGAGCACTTGGCAAACATCAAAACGAGGCAACATGACGACAATTTCCAAGAAGGCCAAGGCAGTGGTTTAAGATAATCATAGGCCAGGCCTGCCTATACTCAATTTTAATTAACACACACAAACTCAAGAGGGCCGGAATTGGGGAAAACGAAAAGAATTAAAGTCGCCTTGACGGGGAGAAGAAAAAAAAAAAAAATGTTTTCCCGTTTTCCTGGAGAAAAGTGCATGCCTAAGAGTGTAGCTTATTTCCTTATCTCAAAGCCAGGAAACGAGCGAGGTCCTTTCAGGCCAGCCTGAATGTAAACTCTTGTTTAAAAACAAGAGGGACTGCAGGGCGAAACCCCTTTCCCAACTTCGGCCAAGCGGCGTGGCCTGCAGTCGGCGGCGTGTTTATCAGCCGTCTGCCCGTTCCCCCACCAGAAGTTTCAACGCGCCACGGGAAACAAAGACGGAGGCTCGCACCGACCTTATAGACTTGTCCGTAGGTGCCATTTCCAACCACTTCCACCAGCTCAAAAATCCCAGCAGGATCCTGGTGAAGAGGAGGGGAGGGAGGGAGGGGTGAGAATCTTAAAAGCAGCACAACAATGAATAAATAAAGCGGGGCGGCGGGAGAGAACGGGCGACGGCACACCCGGCGGGCTTCGCCCCGCGCGGTCCCCCAGCGCCCGAGGGCCGCGCCCGGGGCGCGGGGGCCGCGGGGGGTCGCGGGGGGTCGCGGAGGGTCGCGCCCCGCCGCCCCGCACTCGCCGCCGCAGGCAGACAAAGGGGCCGCCGCGCCCGAGCGCCCGAGCGCCCGAGCGCCCGAGCGCCCGGCGGGCAGGGCGCGGCCCCGGCTCCCCGCTCCCGGCGCGCCCGCGGGGGGCTCGTCGTGGCCACTCACCCGCAGGGAGGAGAGGTCGATGTCCACCAGACTTTTTGCAGGGGAGTCGTTCGCCATTTTCCCTTTTTGCCACCCAACGAAGCGGTACCAATGAGTCTCTCCGCCTGCCTATCTCTTTCCGCCGCAGGCCAGGCCGCCGACGGCGCCTCCTCGCACGGGAGCGGGCGGCCGGACTCCGCCCGGCGAGGCCGCGGGCAGCGGCGGCGGCGGCGGCGGCGGCGGCGGCGGCGGCGGCGGCGGGCTGGGGCTGTCGGCCGGCCCGGGCCGCGCGCGGAGGGCGGACGGAGCGTGCGCGGGGCGGCGGCGGCGCTCACACCATGGCGCGGGGCGGCCGTCAGGCCCCCGGGCGTCGCCCGCGCCTCAGGCCCCGCGCCCGCGCCCCGCGCCGCGCGCCTGGAGGACGGGCCCCGAGCGTGGGGCCGCGGCGCCGCCGAGAGTTGAGCGAGTGAGCGCGAGGCAGCGAGACAAAGATAACCCGGGGGGCGGGGGCGGGGGCGGGGGCGGGGGCGGAGGCGGGGAGGGAGGCGGGGAGGGAGGGGGCGGCGGCGGCGGCGGCGGCGGCGGCGGCGGCGGCGGCGGCGCGGGAGGAGGAGAAACGGGACACCGAAAATATATTCTGAGGAGAGAGAACACGGCTCCCCGCGCCCTCCCCGCAGGAAAAGCGAGCGGAAACGCTCCCAGCCCGAGCCCCGCCGGGGAGGGCGCGGGGCGAGCCGCCCGCGCGGCGTGAATATTCAGCAGGGGTGCGGCCCGAACAATGGCCGGCCGGCGGGCGGCGCGCACCAAGGCCGGGGCGGGGAGGAGGCGCCCCGGGACTCCCCCCGAGGTGCCGGCGCCGAGGAAACGCCCCATCTCGCGCTAACAATACACGGAGCCGCAGGGACGCGGCCCCCGGCCGCAGACGCGCTGAGGCGCACCGGCCCGGGCGTCGCGGGGACGCGAAGGGGGGGGGGTCGCCCCGGGCCCCCCGCCGGCGCGGGGCCCCCTTCCCCTCCCCCTTCCCCTCCCCCACCTCCGGATGGGTTCTCTACCCCCCCCCCGACCCTCATTTCCGGTTTCCTCACACGGTTCTCGTTTCCTATCTTGCAGGCGACATTTGTGACAGGCGTGTAGGTGCGGCGTCCCTTGAGCATCACCTGGCCGCGGGTCCCGAGGCTCTCCGTGGAAACCGAGCCCAGAACAATCCCCTCTGAGCGCCTGGCACTGTCTTCCTTACCGCACTCGGGAGGTGAGCCCTGTGTGGGGGGCCCCAAGTGCTAACTAACCCCCGTTTTGTGCCTACAGATCATTAAGGATCAATATAAACAGGCTTCTGCCAGCAACTTCGGAAGCTCGTCGGTAGGTGGGCAGTTTGATCCTGTTAAATAGGGATGAATATGGGATGTCTGTGCACCACCGGTCATTTTTATCACATCGCTCCACTGTACAAAAACTTTGAATGGCTCCGTGGGTTACCTCGCGGCAGGTTCTTTCTCCAACCTGCGTGCGTCAGAATCACCGGGAGGGATTGTAAAAGCGCCGATGGCTGACCCCCCACCTCCAGAGTCCAGCAGGTCTGCGAGAGTAGGCCCGAGAGTATGCATTTCTCACAAGCTGTCAGATGATGCAAATATTGCTGTTACAGGGATCACACTTGGAGAACAAGGGCCCTCCTTACAGGATGAAAATCTAAGGCCCTTCACAACTGGGCTTCACAGACACCAGCGTCGTCATCATCTAGCGGTTCTTGCTTAATGTACAGCACCCAATTTAACCTGTCTTGTACCCCTTGTGTATTAGTATCCACATTTTAAGGATGGGGAAACCAAAGCACTGAAACATGAGGAACGTGCCTAAATTCCTTAAAAGCACAGCCTGGAAGTGGAACAGGGATTATCACTGGGTCAGCCTACTCCAAAAATCCAAGACTCCCATTCATCCGAGTTAATCTTTTACCCAGGAAACGTTTAGCACTCTCCTGCCTCTCAACGGTTTGGTTTCCAAAATTTTCAACTATGAGAATCCCTTGTAAGGGACCCCTGGAATTCTTTGATTAGGAAAATCATAGTAACCAAAGTGTTGCTGCGAATGTAGTAGTACTTCTAAATGATTTTGTTTTTTTAATGTATTCACAGCAATGGCGTTATCTGTGAGGGTAAATCATTTACTCAGATTGGCGAGCATGTGAAATTTCAGGCCATGTTACTACTAATAGTATTTTAGTAGTATTTATTTTTTTTAAAGATTGTATTTATTTATTCATGAGAGACACAGAGAAAGAGGCAGAGACATAGGCAGAGGGAGAAGCAGGATCCATGCAGGGAGCCCAATGTGGGACTCAATCCCGGGACCCCAGGATCACGACCTGGGCTGAAGGCAGACGCTTAACTGCTGAGCCACTCAGGTGTCCCAAATATTTGTAATTAATAATAGATAACACATATTAGGCCCAGACAATGTGCTAAGTCCTTTATACACATTATTTCATTATTATTCATTAACCCCAAATGATAAGTACTCTTATTTTTCCCACTTTACACATTGAGAAACCAATGTATAAAGAAGATAATTGGAACACCTGGATGGCTCAGCGGTTGAGCATCTGCCTTGGGCTCAGGTCATGATCCTGGGGTCCTGGGATTGAGTCCCACATCGGGCTCCCCGCGGGGACCCGGCTTCTCCCTCTGCCTGTGTCTCTCATGAGTAAATAAATAAAAAATAAAAATAAAGAAGATAATTGACTTGTTTGTGCATAGCTGAACCCAATGCAGAAACTCAGTACACCCCCCCCCCACCATGTAAGCCAACCTCCCTCCACAGGTTCACTCATGGTTTTGAAGCCCACCTCAGACCATCCCCTTCTTCTTTGCCCAGCCAGATTCTCCATCATCTCAAGCTCAACTCAGAAACCAACTGTTCCTTCTCTTAAAAGCTTTCTCTGAATCGCTCTCTCCTAAACTGCTATTGTCCATGTCACCATTGTGACGGTTACTTCTCATTTTTAATTCAGGACCTTTCCTTGAAGTGCCTTACCCAGCACACGGCACTGGCTTAGCCATTGCCTGAGATATAAGGAAAATGAAGCCAGCTATTCTCAAAGAACTTACAATTTGATAATGGGTATGAGACAGTCTCATAAATATCTATAGTTAAAAGCAGATCATTATAAATTTTAGTTGTATAGGAAGAACATTAAACAGGTCTAGTGGACCTGGGTGACTCAGTCGATTAACTCCCCCTCTGCCACTCCCCATCCCCACACTCATATTCTCTCTCTCACTCTCTCTAAAATAAATAAAATCTTTAAAAATCATTTGGAAAGTATGCCAAATTTGAGGCAAAACTGCACTAGGTTTGAACCTAGTTCTATCAATTGTGCAACCTTCAACATGTTGCTTAAATTCTGAGCCTCCATTTCCTCTTCTGTCTATGAGATGAAGACTAGAGGTTAGAAGAGCCAGGAAGAGGAGGTCTCAGGAGCACAGCCCAGAGTAATAAGACCTGAAGAAAGGAGATACAAAGTTTCGGCCTGTAGACTCTTAAAACTCAGCTTCTGATGGGATGCCAGTCAGTATAGACAAGAGGGTAAAAGATTTGCTTGTGGCTTAGAGCTTTGTTCACACTTGGGAGGAACAGAGGAAAGGATACAAGTTGTTGAGTGGTGGTGACAAAGGAAGGTTTGGTTTTGGACTCCGTGAAAAGTTAACTTTTTAGGCACAAGCAGTGACACCCGCCCAGTTTGTAACTCTGCTTGAGATCTGAAGGTAGGGGCCATTTTCTCAATCAACAGTGCTATGTTAGTTCAGGCTATTATAACAAAATACTGTAAACTAGGGGGCTTAAATAACAGATTTATTTTCTCGCAATTCTGGAGCATAGAAATCCAAGATCAATGTTCCAGTTGATTTGGTTTCCCATGAGAGCTATCTCCCTGCCTTGCAAATGGCCACCTTTTCACTATTGTCCTCACATGGGTTTTCCTCAGTGCTACTATACAGAGAGGAAAAAACAAACAAACAAAAAACATCTGGTATCTCATCTTATAAGGACAACTACCCTGTTATTTTCTATCACGGTCCCACCTTTATGACCTTATAAATTTAACCTTAATTATTTATTATTTCCTTAGAGGCCCTATCTCCAAATGCAGGCACACTGGGACTTAGGGTTTCAACACATGGGGGACACAAACATTCAGTCCATAACAAGCCATGTGCAATACTAGTATCAGGAAGTAGACTTACATCATAGCCCTTGTCCTTAAGAATCTATTTGAGAACACAACATAAACCCACCCCAAAAGATAGGCAAGATAATAATTTGGAAAGTAAATGCTAATTTGGTATTTTAGGCTGGAGGGAAAGATAGTTTGCTAAGACAAAGAATGTGAAGTTGAAAAGACAAACTGGGCCAGAGAATTCAATTCAGAGAACCCCGTGAGATAAAGCTAGACAGCTTAGGTGGGACCAGAAGACCAAGCTAAGGCATAGGTGATGTGCACGTTACAAAGAGAAGCCAGATTATCAGGTCAAAGGAGAAACATCCTAGCCTTGAACTTCAAGAGCTCCCATGGCAGGTTAGATGCTTGTGTGTTCAGCAGGCCATGGGATATAAGTCTGCATCTTCCCAGGGTACAGTGGGCCAGTCGGCTATCATCTCACCCAGTCACAAAATCCTAAGGGAAGCTCAGTTATGCAATAAATCATCAGTGATAACCCCCATACACCCCTTTACTTATTTCCTAGTTTTTTCTTTGTTGCAAAAATATTGGTGGAAATTTTTAACCTCAGGAGGCAGGGCAAGGAGGGTAGCAAATCTGTGAAACTGGACTGAATGAATATAACTTAAGGGCTCAGAGTCAGTGAGGACTTAGGTCAACTGGAAATAAATGATGGGAATAGTGGTGAGTAGGAGGAATTGAGTCAAACAAAGGAAGCAATGGTGGAATGCATTTAGGAAAAATCTCAGGAAGGGGAAAGCCTAGGTTAGGGGTCAGAGATCTGAGTTCCCCTTCTCTGACGGACAAGGTGTTAAGCAAATGCTTACACTCTCTGCCCCTCAGTTTTCTAACACGTCAGGTTAGGGGGTTGATAGAAATGATTCAAAGATCCCCTTAGGACCTTAGAGACTCTAATTTATATAACCCTGGCCTCAGCTGTTTATACCTCTTAGCCAGAGTGGAAACGGATTGATATGAGCAACAGAAGCTAATGGAACACGTGGATGCCATAGATTTGGCAGCAAAGCTCAGCCCTTTAAAAAGCCATGGTAGAGCACTGGTAGAGAGGGTAAGAATCTTTTTTGACTGGCGTATCAGTTGAATTAAAAGGAAGTAAGTACTCTGGTGCACAACAGGATGGAAGGCGTGGGATGCTGAAGCAGATCAAATGGCAACAAAAGAAGAAGCTGACTAGAGGCGAGACAGACATCTTACCCTAGCAACCAGGGATGTTGATCCTGTCACTTCTGTGATAAGGGCGTTAGCTTAGCTCAGACCTCCCAAAAAGAGATCCTGACACAAAGATTTGGTGCAGGTACTTTATTTAAGAGATGATTGCAGGAAGCCCAAGTGAAGGAGACAGAAAAGTGAAACATGGAGATGAGCCACTGAGGAGTGTGTTAATGAGCAGGTTTTCACTCTGGGCAACTGGGCTAGCTTTAGCTAGAAAAAGAAAATGTAGGTTCCTCTTAGTTTATGTGTTCATGGAAAAGTTTTCTGTAAACATGTTTCAAAAAAACAGAACAGTATTTTAAACTCAGAGGAACTTACTCTTTATAGAAAACTTATTTGAAATGTTTTATGAAGGGGATTACTGTCTCTTAACTTATCCCTTTTATAAATTTGTATTTTGCATACATGGATTGCTTCATTGAGTTCCACTGTGAAAAGTTCTTTACCTGAAAAATCCCTAAGGGTCTCAAAAAGGAAGTCAGAGATAGTCCTAGCTTTAGAAATAAAGATGTGAGCCATAGGAAGTGGTTCTGAGAAGCTGGATGGGGATGGTGAATAGTTGTCAAGTATGTCTGATTTCAATAGATGTTTGGGTGAATGGAATCAGGTTGTGCCAATGGAAGGCCAAGGTAGGACTAGACTTTCCTGCTACCTGACGAGATAACAGGCTTTTATTTATACTTAATCACATATTTGTGTCCTAAGCCTGTATAGCAAAATCTCAGGAAGTGACTAGACCAATGGACCTCTCTTATGCTCAGCCATCTAATATGTCACAACTGAAACAGGGTCATGAG